CACAAATATCAGCCCATAGGAGGTGCCTCATTACATTCATTCATTCACAAAAAAATCCAAACTGCTTTTGAAATTGGCACTGAAATCAACAACAAAATGCAGTCTGTCTGAAATATCACAGTGAAACAGATCGATGAAACCTGAATACTAATGTGTACAAACACAAACACAGTATTTCGTTTAACTTATTGATCTTCACAGTTACAGAAAGGACTCCCCATTCATCCATTTTCTGACCAGAACTATAATGATCACTCCGATTCTTAGAAAAAGGAAAAAGCATGTGACAGCAAAGGCAGAAATTTGTACCCTGTGTTGGGTGATAAGAAGCTCGGGCAGCCACAGGGAAATCATTCAGTAAGGTGTAATGGTGTCATCCCTGATGGTCCCTAAAGGCTTTGACCACTCATTAGTTTCAGTGATTCATTTTACTTTATCAGTACATGTTAACACACAACGGCTTTTAACCCGAGGTTATTACAAAGTCTGTTGACTAGTAACACATCCTGTGATTTGGTAATTTTGTATTATTCAAAAAATATTTTCTTTGTTATTGATTTCACTTAGGTGTTGATATTTTGGTTATCCTTTCTGATTTTGGTTATGTGATGGCCTTTGCATGGTTTGTAGGCTTTATATATAAATGTGTTTCATATGTTTTTGGCATCACCTGGGAAAAAATATATTTGGTTTCAATGCTTGCAGTCATATATCTCAAGTTTAACTGACCCTGTGTGTGCCAAGTAGTATTTTAATTTTATTTGCCAGTGATGCTGCAGTAGGTGATTTATTTCAACCCAGTCTCATATAGCTGGTTGTCAGTTGCAAGATATGTTTTCTCATATTTGGTCATCCTTCATAGTAGCAGTAAACAGTCTAAAAGCATGTCTTGAATGAGCTCCTGACTCCCGAGAAAGGGGCCTTGGTGTCAGATACGTCTACCAAAATACAGACAAACTCGTAATGCCTTGAGACACTGTTGGTTTTCAGAGCTAGTGCTTGTCCGGACCGATGGACAAACAGTTGATTGAGGACAAGTGACAACCAGAAAGGTTGTGTTCTGTGGAATCAAGGTTTTCTTCCCTGAAATGTTCACAGTGGAGTGTGTCTACCTGCTTCACACACATGCTGAAGGTCATTATTTGTGTTGCAATATGCTGCAGCTGATGTTCACACTTTCGAGTGCACTTAATCTTTCTCTACCTGGGACAATTTTAAGACTGAAAGAAAAGCTACATAACTTTAATGATTGTTGAGCTTAATCAACATAATTTTTCTTTTTTCTTTCTTTTTAACCTCACCAGTGGGAATTCAATGTATTATTCACATGTTTCATTTATTTCTTTAAAGAGCCCAGTGTTCTTACTTTAGTGAAGATAATAATGTTTATAGTTTTTATGTAGTCCTACTGCTGCAACTGCATGTCTGATACATATAACAAAATGTCCAATCATTTTCAGAGCTGAAATATTAGTTCCAGTGATGAAACATACAACAAAAAGCTCACAGGGTGTTATTTGGGATTCATTTAAACATGTAAAATATTAAGATGGTCTTATTATTACTATATCATAGGGAGTTGCTGTGAATAATTGCATTGTTATGTTTTATCTCCACCAAGGATGTTATGATTTCACCAGGTTGTTTATCAGCAAGATATACTTACCAAGAGATTACCATGAACACAAAACAGGCCAAGGAACAATTAATTTGATTGGTGGTGGTCTGGGATTTTCGCCATGAGACAATATTTTCTTTAACCATAGCAATTAAATGAACAGAAACAGAGGCTTATATCCAAATCCCAAAGGTATGAATATAACAGCAAACTGGATAATTGTTCTGGATTGGCAGATGCTTTCTGAATGCCTTCCGGTTTTACAAAAAAGATCTGAAACTTGAAAATCTCCCAAATTAATTTTTTCTGAAACTCAAAATGGCATGTTTCCTTAAATCGTCTTTCTCCTGTTTCATTCAAAAAAGAAAACAGAAGTGAGACAATGATAACCTTGAGCCACAGACTGCTCAGTGGCAGACAAATTATTCCTGGTTCTCTGACTTCTAGCATTCAAAGATCATTATATTCACAGTTACTAATTGGCATGCCCCAGGTCATATCTGAATAAATGTTGCACTATTTCACCCCTACGCATTCTTACCTTCCTTTTAGCCCTTAGCTGTCCATGATAGTTATCAGATGAGTCTCCTGGGATCTCCCCTCCCCACAGAGTCACGCCCACAATGGTGTAAGTGATGCCCATGACCACTAAAGGTAGCACGTACACCAGAAGTGTGACTATGATATGATACCTAGGAAGGAAAAGGATAAAAGGCTGAAGTGTGTTTACATTTCTAAAATATTTATACTCATATATAATTTCATACACAGTAGGTTGGACAGGTTGAATCTTGTATTCTTATGGTACATGTTGCACTTGATGAATGTAGGTTTGATCGGAACACTAATTCAACACAAACACCAACATTTAGTTCACATGGCAAAGCCTAGAGGTGGTAGTAATTATGATGGGATGCAAAGGAGAACGCCAGGTTATGTTGGGATGAGTTCTGGGTGGATGGGTCAACAAAACATCTGACTTTGGCACAGAAGACAGCTGTTTTTTACCACGATCCTTACCTAACCTTAACCCTTTATTGGGCGAGGAACCATATATGGTCACTTCATTATGACAGTTTTAATTAAACTTCTATGGCATTGGTGTTTTTTTCATAGGTGATATACTAATATACACTTCACTGTTACGGCTTTCTTTCACAA